CTATCTCCTTTCCCTCTCTGACAGCATCTTTTTTTTTTTTTTTTCCCTTTTAGCTTGCCGTGGTTGGCTATCACCTGACCTCTCATGTTTATTGGCAGTCTTCGGACGGGCCAGGAGATGTTGAATAAATAAATAAATAAATAAATAAATTATGCCCTAAGCATACTTTTTGTCTAAACCGAAAGATTATGCAGACCTTACACGTTGGAATCCGTAATTTTTTGACAAAGCTGTATTATGCCCTAAACATAATTTTTGTCTAAACCGAAAGATTATGCCGACCTTACACGTTGGAATCCGTATATTATGCCGGAGCATAATTTTTTGACGAAATCCCAAGATTATGCCAAATATTATGCCGGCAATAATCCGCCAAATGCAAGGGCTACTCCGTTTGAAGTACACGCCATCCGTTAAAATATTTACTGTAAACCGTGAAATTATTGCGATGGTCGGTTAAAGGGGAAGTTAAGGCAAAAATTAAAATTTCACCAGTTGTTGTCTTCGGGGTGCTGAGTCGAATGGTCTTGGTCCGAGAAAGCTGAGACGCTCCCTTCCTACTTGAATCCCAATCGAACTCGCGCACTTCCAACGAAACTGGGTGACTGCGCCCTACTAGATGGGGATTTGTATGCAAAATGTCACTAAAAGCGCCATTTCGTTCTTATAAAAGCACGGATGACCGCGATTGGCCCATATGTTGTAGTCTTTTGGACGCTGAGTCGACTGGTTTTGGTCCGAAAAGGCTGCGAAGCAGCGTTCCTCCTTTATTTATTTATTTATTTATTTCTGCACCTCGTGGCATGTCAAGACAGCCAATTGAATTGAGGAGAGGGTGAGACCAACCACGGAAGAAGAGAAAAAAAAGAAAATTAAGAGCACGTACACAAAGTGGGAAGGGATTAGCAACTTACAAAGCAATGGGATGCTCAGCGAGCTATGCAGCGGAAGTGGTGACTGTGACTTTGTTTACTGGGAGATACTGAAGTGCTGTCTGACGAGGGTACGGAATTTGGGCATATCTGGAGCTTGTCTAACACTGGGAGGCAGTTGGAGCCACGTGGAGTAGGAGGAAAAGAAAGGGGAATTGACGAATAGGGTAGACCTAGCTAGGGGGAGACGAACGCAGCTTCGGGTGGTGCCACCTGAATTGAACCAATTAAGTGTTAGATAGGAATACATACATTATATGACATGCACATGTACTTGACTTGTTACACCAGCCTCACCTTCTATCCTCTTTTACATGCACTACTAATACTATACTATGCGCTGTATTCATCTATTGTTCCCACACACTTTCGAGGTTGACCTTAGATAGCACAGTAGCTGCACACTGGAGACCTTTTGATGCATTTCACTTTCAGCCGCACTTTTAGTTATCTACACTAACAGCTGTACATGTACATCCTAATGCCCTTTCAACAGTTGTCCTCCTGGTATTATTGCACGCCTACATGTATACGATGTATTGTACACCCTTCTATTCAGTTCTTCCTCTACAACGTATTCCTCTTGCACAGGTGCCATGTCCCGACCTTTCCCATTCTTCTGCCCACACAATCATGTACCTTGTAGTTTGACCTTTCTTCTTACCTCTCTCTGCTCTACGTATCCCCTGACCATAGGCTAGCTTACTTACTCACCCTATAAAAGCTGCCGCCTTTCTAGTTTCCTAGGGGATTAGTTTCTTGCTGATTAAGACCAGCTCTCCGCAGATCAGTTCCCTGTAGATTAGTTTCATGCTAGACTACAGTGTATTACCTGAGAACTCTTTCTCTCTCTCTCTCTCTCTCTGAATAAATGTGCAATTCTGTATGATAACCCTTATCCATTACTGTAACCGCTTGCTCTGCCGACTGAGCGAAACCGGGACTTAACATAAGGGACTGTAAATGAGCAGGGTGCTGGTCAAGGAAAATTGAATGCGCCAGGGTGCACTTGGAAGCATCAAGGTAATGTTGCAGAGTGGTAATGGATGCAGCAGCATACAAGTCTAGATTTGAGGTATAACGATCAGTACGGAATATGATTCGCAGTATACGGCGATGGAGAACTTCTAATTTACCTATGTGGGTTTTGTTAACATGTACATGCACGTGTATGTGTATGTACATGTACATGCACTGTATGTACATGCACGTGTATGTACATGCACGTGTATGTACACTGTGATAAAAATATACTGTAAAGCGTGACATTTTCGCGGCGTTTTTAGTTCGCGTTTTCAGAACCCGGACAGTGACATTTTCGCGGCGTTTTTAGTTCGCGTTTTCAGAACCCGGACAGGTTTGCGAGGTTTTAATTTTGCGATTGCAGAATGGTATTTTTGCTAAACCTGTGGCATTCTTGCTAAACCTTTCATGGATCTCCTTTTCGCGCTGTCTAAATTTCGCGATTTCATTATTAGACGGTGTCCTGACAGTTCACAGAAACCCAATTCACAGAACGACAGTTCACCGAACGACAGTTCACTGAATGACATTTCACAGACTACCTTTTTGACAGACAGCCCATTTCACAGGATACCCAATTCACCGAAAGACAGTTCACAGAGCACTGTTTTCATCGACAGCCCATTTCACCGAATTTGATCAGGCATGCACTCCAAAATGCATTGTTTCGAAAGAAAGCAAAATATGAAGAATATGAGAGTATTTACTATACACAACATTGAGCGCCAAATTATACACTACTCCACGGAAGAACTCTCTTGGTGGTCGCTGCTCGACGGACTGGAGCAGAGCCCTCAGCCGTTCTGCCTATTCGACAACATTGAACGCCAGATTATGTGCTACTCCACGGAGGAACTCTCTTGGTGGTCGCCGCTCGACGGACTGTAGCAGAGCCCTCAGCCGTTAATCACATTGCTGATATCTCTTCTTCCGCTTCGGACCAGAGTTTCCTGCCACAAGCCGCTCAAGCTCTAGTTCCGTGGTGGCCTGCTCCATTTTCAAACACTTGATAACCTTCCAAATAGTCGGATGGTGGCAGGTAGGCCCCAGCGGCAGATGCTAGCTAAATGTTGCCAAGATGCTTTTTGGGATGCTAGCTGACAACTCAGAAAGATGCTAGTTTGGATGCTAGACAACACGAATTATGCTACCTATTAAGGGATGCTGTAGGAGTGCCGCTGAGGCTGATCCTCAGAGCACGAAAACCGCCAACCGTCCCCAAAAACTTCAAATTTTTTTTTCCCAATCGAACATGGTTGAGCAAGCGGTCACGTGCTCCTGGGTGCCCAAATCACCTGGTCACCACGCCAGCAGGTGACAACTTTCACACCAAGGTTCAACTCGAGTGACAGGACTGCACCCAAAAAAAAGGTCAAACAGGCTAGTAAGTTGTACCCTGCAGGCACGGTGACCAGGTGACTGGTGTACGCAGGAGCACGTGACCGCTTGTTCAACCATGTTCGATTAGGAATAAAGGAGGAACGCTGCATCGCAGTCTTTTCGGACCAAAACCAATCGATTCAGCGTCCAAAAGACTACAACATATGGGCCAATCGCGGTCATCCGGGCTTTTATAAGAACGAAATGGCGCTTTTAGTGACATTTTGCATACAAATCCCCATCTAGTAGGGCGCAGTCACCCAGTTTCGGTGGAAGTGCGCGAGTTCGATTGGGATTCAAGTAGGAAGGGAGCGTCTCAGCTTTCTCGGACCAAGACCATTCGACTCAGCACCCCGAAGACTACAACTGGTGAAATTTTAATTTTTGCCTTAACTTCCCCTTTAACATGTACCAACGGAAGAAGGGGAACAAAAATGAAAGCAAAACAGAGATACAACATTGAGTGTTTATGGGCGCTACACGAGCTATGCTGGTGAGGTGCGGTGGATTCCCCGGACCAAGGGTCTCGGGATCGGCGTACACAACAAGCAACATGGCGGGTGGGGATGGGGGGGGGGGGTACGATCGGAAATCTTATCAACTTTTTCTTGTTATTACTGAGCCTTGCTAGCATGCCCTGGGCACGCCGGTAATTCTGGCTCTACAGGCAGTCGGGGACTCGGGGGGGGGGGGGGGGGGTCAATCAACTTACTTGCTTCTCACCCATACTGGGCCATAGCACAGTAGTCCCACGCAGAATAACTTGGCACACAAGAACGTCCAGCCTGAAATACTAAGAACACCACAGCCCAAAGCTAAGAACGGCGGTGTTGGTTTTCTGGCAGCTTGTACGATACATACATAATCCAGTATGTACTGTTTCTAAGAACGTGCTATAAGAATGCAGGCAGATTGCTTAGGCCCAAACAAATAATGACCTTGTTTCCGGTCAGCCGACCGGGCCACTTTTTCCCAAATTCTGAGACTTTTTTGGTTCCAAATGTATACAAACGGTGGCAATGCCATGTGTGCAAGAGTACTCAACGAGTCATAACTCAGTCAAGTCTCAACCGAATTCCACAATCGAAACACCTACAAGGTAGCAGAGATTCTCAGCTGTCGGCTCGAAAACCTCCGGGGTCGATACGAGCTAGAATAACGGAGCTGGAAGGACTCGAACTGTTTGCTTGATTTCTCAGGATGTACGAAAACAGGAATACACCACATGCTGTACAAGAACAGTGAGTCGGTCAACTCTGACATTGATCCTTGCCATGATATAATGTACAATGTACATGTGTAGGTGCTCTTGTCCATCAATGCCACAACGATTGAGGAACCAAAAAAAAGTATCCAAAAAAAATTTCATTCCGGCCGACCGAGTCTCTTTTTTGAGGGGTTGCCGACCGGAAACAAGCCTATTTTTTGTTTTGGCCTAAGAACGTCCCAGGCTAATCCCTTAGAAACAACGTTCTTGGGATGCGACCCTACTGGAGACGGTTACGACGTCTACCGTTGCTAGGGCAACAACTGCAGCAAAGGTTCCAGTCGGCATGGCCAGTGTCATGGTAACAAAGCACAACGAATGGTTGCTACGGTTACTGAAAGAGCAGGCAGCACTCATGAATGCAGCTGCAATCAATACCGGCTGGCTTTGCGGATGGATCATGTGATCAGGGTAATGGATGTGCCATCCATAAGCTCAGCACGGAAAGTATATTCATCGCAGTACCGCACAATTGGCAGGCTGCCTTCCTCACCACTACGCACGTGGCAAGCGCGAATCCTGCCTTTCGGGGAGTCCACAATGATACGAATCACATCTCCTTCTATCCATGGTTGTCCCAGTCGCTCGCCTAATACTCGATCATCGTGTGGAAAGACACTGGACCAACCGATGAATCCTGAAGCGTGACTCCAACCATTGTCTCGCTTTGTGGGTATCGACATTCTTGCGATTCCTAGTAGCAGTGGATTGAAGGCCTTGAGAATGCGAACGGCGAACGACTCTCTCTCCCAGTAAAAAAAACAACCACCAGTGACCGACCGATATTTGGGATTTTGGGTGATGCGAGCTGTTGCGGTTCGATACTCATCAGTCAGGCGGACATTCTGCGATTTATCACTCTCGTCAAATAGAAGACATCCATGCTCCAGTATGTTGCTAGAATAATCCTGGATGAACCCATCGATCTGTGGCGTTTCAGGCACTGTGGCCACATCTTGAGTAGAGAGCACACAGGCGCTCAGGTGCTTTTGCACGTACTCGCGAGCGTCTCTCTTTACCGTCTCGTGGATCTCATGGATGGATGTGACCGTCGGTGATTCAGCAGCTGAGGCCAGTTCTGCGGCAATAGGTGTGCGTACGTACATTTCTGGCCACTGCGTAGCCGATGCTTTGACAAGTACAGCGTCGCTGAGATTTGCTTGCAGATGGTGAGCAACCTGCAACTGCCGCATGCTCTCCACAATTTTCTCTTTTCTCACCTCAATGGGCTTGGTCTCTTTCCAATGCAGATTATCAACAGCATCACGAAGAGACTTCTCGGCAGTGCGTAGTTCCTCGTGTCGACGCTCAAATTCCTCACCAATGCCATCGCTAATGGCCTGGACTTTGTGCTGTAGTTCATCCTGTTCTTGCTCCACTGCAGACAGTTCCTGTGTTAACCTGGTATAGTGACTTTCTTCAGCCAGCAGTGTTGTGTTGGAATAGGTATGTCGAACATCATGTGCAGCTATGGCCAGCTCTAACACTCTGTGTTCTGTGTGACTACTGCAGTGCTCACACAGAATTATCTTACACACTGGACAAAACTGTGTCGCGTGTTGTGCTGGGTGCTGAGGGCACGTCTTGGCCGAGCTGGCCATTGGATCACCGCGAAGAGCGGTCACACGATGGCCAAGATGTCGCCGACTGCGTGTATGAACCAGGGAGTGTGGCTCACACAGGTGCTGATCGCAATCTGCGCAGTGCGAAAATGCACTCACCTGAGAATCAACACAGTCACTGTCTTGGCACATACATGTATGTGTAGCTTTGCGAGACGCCGAATCGATTGGCTTTGGCCAGTCTGCTAAGCTGTTCGGTAGTGGCTGTCCTGGACTCGCTGCCTCGCTCATCAACTGACATCTAGCGCAGGTTAGCGAGCTCTCTGTGTTCGTGTGTTCTTTGATACACTGACTGCACGCAATGTGTAAACATCGCAGCACTTTCAACCCTGTGCCACTGGAGAGTTGGCAAAACACACAGGTTTCATCCAACTGCCTGGGAAACTGCAGTGTCTTCTCGGTACTGCCCACGGAACCAGCTGCCTCCGACACAGCGAATTCAGCCATTGCACCCACAGCAGCACTAGCCATCATTGACTCTGAAAACAAACCACAAAAAATATTGCTGCAACGCAGCGACTACAACAAGACTGCGTGCGCTGCTACTAAAGTACTACCGGTACAGTATACGCGATGTAGGAAATCAAAATGTTGCTTGAAGCTCCTTCTTGAAATTTTGCTGATTTTCAATGATGGTCTTGAAAGGAATCTTAAACTTTCGATACAACAGCTGAACAAATGAACGCAGGTCATTTTGACTGTGGATCATGGAGTCGGTCACTACACCTGTCAAAATGATACTACAGTACAGTATTTAATTTCAAGCGCTGTGAAGAATAAACATGATCGGAAACGTCTTGGAGAGCGCATCGAAAGCGCTCTCTGATCGATGCTACTACTCGGAGGTGAAACGAAGACTGAGCGGCTCTGACACCCCAGTCATACAGACGAATCGACGATGGCATGAAGGAGTTCAGAAACAAAGCAGCACCTCAAGGTCCTGATGCTGAAGGATCGCGTTCAAGCAATCGAGAAGTCACAACACGCCTCGCGCTCGGACGCAGGCATCTAACGCGATTCGGCGCAAACGAAACTCGTATTTTCATCAGACATGTCAATCTGCATCTGCAAACCCTTGTAAGCTCCGGCAGCCCATCAACAGCCTTACAAGCCGTACCCGAGCACAACCGGATCCTACATGCGATGTTGAAGAGGTCGGCAATACGTTCCATCAAGTTGTGACCGACGCCAATAGACCTCCCATATTGGCAGAACCTCAGGGGCCATTGAGAGGGGAAGTTCTTTCGGATTTTCGAGGGACTGATGCAGGTTCCGTTTACGAACTGCTCCGTGAAGTCGACGCCAGAAAAGCAACCGGTAGTGACGGGGTCCCAGGATCGTTGCTGCTCGCCACTGCCGACATCATCGCACCAAGCCTCACCCAACTTTTCAACATGTCCCTGAAATCGGGTATCGTTCCTCGGGCCTTCAAGCTAGCAGAGGTTCGCCCCCTCTTCAAATCAGGAGATCCTGCTTCCCCTGGGAATTATAGACCAGTATCTCTACTACCCATTATTTCGAAAATCCTCGAGCGGATTGTACAAAACCAGTTACAAGGTCAGCTTTCCCGTGTTCATGCGCTGCCTGACACGCAGTTTGCGTACCGGCATGGCTACTCAACAGAAGATGCATTGGTTGTCCTGACGGACACGCTCCTGGAGGCCCGCGATCGACGCCAGGTATCGGGAGTGTGCTTTCTCGATCTCTCCAAGGCATTTGACAAAGTCAGTCATGAGCGTCTCATTCAGGACCTGTTTGCTTTAGGAGTGACAGGCAGACCCCTTCGCTGGCTCATCAGCTACCTCAGTGAGCGGACACAGCGAGTTTGTTTCGGGGCCAGCAGCAGCACAATCACCTCTTGCAGCTGCGGTGTGCCCCAGGGATCGGTGCTCGGCCCGTTGCTCTTTAACGTGTACACAAGAGATGTTCCTCAAGTAGCCCAATCCGCAGCCACGATCCAGTTCGCCGATGACGTCGCAGTATATTGTAGCGCTGACACGACTCAGGCTGTTGCCAGTACGCTCTCCACCGCAGTCTCCTCCTTGGCTGCATGGCTGGAAGAGCGAGGACTGATTCTGAATGAGAAGAAGAGTCAAGTTCTCACAGTCTTTCCTGGTAGAGACGCTGGACCCCGGGTCACAGTTCTCTGTCGCAGCCAAGCTCTGCCGACAGTCACCAGCGCGAAGTACCTTGGCGTCATCATTGACGAGGGGCTGAACTTTCAGCAACACCTGAAAGCCATTACAGCAAAGGTGTCCCGCAAAGTAGGTGCCCTCTGGCGGACTCGGAGATGCTTGAGCCTGGCGGCCCGAGTCACCTACTTGAAGTCCGTGGTGATGCCGGATCTGACCTACGCATCAAGTAGTTGTTTCGTGTTCTGTCTAACTGCCCAGCAAGCAACGGATCTCCAGACGCTGGAGAACAAAGCGGTTCGCGCAGTTTTTGGCGCTCGGCCATACGACTCTGCTCAACCTCTGCTCCAACGGGTGGAACTCTACCGAATCTCAGAGCTGCACAAGCAAAAGGCGCTTTTGCTCACCTGGCGATGCATCCACGGCATTGCGGGGAACCGGCTCTGTGGACTGGTTTCAAGGTCACCAGATCGGCGTACCCGCTTGCAGAAGGACATCGGAGCGCACATACCACCCGCCGCAAGCCGCGCTGGTCAGGCTAGGTTCTCTGTTGCCGCTCCCAAGCTGTGGAACGCACTACCCAGCGACACCCGCACCATCCCCCGGCCCCAACGCAGTGTGTTCAAGATGTCAGTCATCCCACATATGTACATACGCTCGCTCCATGAAACGTATCACCCATTATTCCAGTCACTGTTGCTGTCGCATCCACTCGTATGTCGCATCCACTCGTAGTCCACGTCCACTGATGTCGACCGAGGTAGCTCTCTTGCTACTGTGTAATAGTGACATGTACCCAGCTAATGTCTCTGCTTCGTTCAGGGAATTCAGAATAGGAAGTCTGCTGTACCACCTGCTCTTTTCTTTTTACTTTTAAAAGCGATTATTTGTAACATGGAAATTTGTTCCTTGGCTCACCATTTGAGTTCTTAATACCTCACCCCCACCGTTAGGCGCTGCATCTGCCGCTGGATATACTGGGTGTTAGCGCCTTAGCGGCCGTCGTGGGTTCCCTTGTGGACGGAGATGAAAATTTACTCTATTTACTTTTTTTACTTACTTTTCATTATGGTTTTTGAACTTTATTCCTCTCCTTACCCACAGTAAATTGAGCCCTCTGCAGACGATGGATGAATCTCCCATGGAACATTATTCTATTTTTTCAATTTTTATTTTATTTTGAGAAGAAGTAGTATTTTTTATTCCCCCCCCCCCCCCCCCCAAGCAACTACAAGTAATAGTTACTTGATTGCGCTCACCTTCCCCTTCTATGTTATCAAACTTATCATACACAAGCGGAAAAACCGTCAGAGATCGAATCGGCATGTCTGCGCCGCCTTTCAAAGCTCGCTACTGCAACCATTTGACTAGGTGTTGGCGGATAATGCCGGCATTATATCGAGCATTATACACCACCCGGAGCATTACGAGCATCATATTCATAAAGCATTACGAGGCCAAAAATGGCATTATACGACTTTCTACATGACGGCATAGTAGATCTACACACATCGTGTACAGATTCGTATCGGCTATAGCGTTGGTCTTTGATTGGCAACATTTATTACGCGATGTATTACTACAACTTACAAGCGATAGACCACCGACCGGTCCGTACACATCATGCATGGTACCAAACAGATCGTGGCACGCAGTGCCAGGCGCAGTAGTGCTAGCTAGCTGTGGTCCAGCACAGTGTGGAAACTCTCGGAGAAACTTACTTCCGGTCCCGAAAGTCTATCTTCGGCCAGCAACTTTTTGAAGATCCAGATAACAACGCCGAACCAACGAAACAAAATTTATGTGAGCCAGCATGGAACGGTGGAGGTGCGCACACGCACACATAATTCCAGACCTTACCCGGTTACAGTCCACAAATTAATGTATTACGGAGGATTAGCAAGACGAAATTCGTGTTCGCGTTCGCAAACATTTTTCAGGTCGCGAACTGGATTGCGAACTTTCGCAGTTTTCGTTCGGAAAAGTAGTCGGAACACGAATCGCGGATTCGTGTCAGAGCAGTCATAAATTTACCACGCTGTACCTAGTACCTGCACATCGTGTCAACGTCATGCATGTGCGAATTCTGTTTGCTAATCCTTCTCATAACGCGAATTCCGTCACCGAGTTCGACTTTCCTTGGAGTGCGAACGCGAACGGGAATTTCGTCTTGCTAATCCTCCGTATTGTTACAAAAAAACATTCTTCATCGAAGCAAGAGTCCATGTCTTTGTCGAAGAGTAACGCTGGACTTTCACCGGACATTGACCATTGTGTAAGACCAGCTAACTAGCAGCCAACGCTGATGGCTGACTCGCCGCGATGCCGTTCTTGGGATTGGGAGGAAGCTGGGCTTTCTCCAGATGAGCTTTTGGCGGAGTCCTCTGATGATAGTGACATCGTCGAGTTGGAAACTGCAGATCCTGCCGCGATAGCGAGGAAGCGGTCTTTTCAGAAAACACTTCAAAACAGCTATTACCAAGTCTGAAAATCTTTCCAAAAGGACGCGAGTAGCTCATGGACAGAGCACTGAAGTGGCCATCAGTGCCGAAACACGGGTGCGGGAGTTCCCAGATGAGCCGCTCAAAAGAGACTGGCAAGTTAGTGTGCCTGGCATGCCATACAACATTGTCAGGGAAGAAGAGTATAATCATGTTCCATATTGCTACCGCAAGACACAAACAAGGAAAGTCCCGTTTGGAGAGGGAAACTCAGAGGCAGAAGCTGGTCAAGGAGTCCTTCTTGGCGTATCCTCTTTGTGCCGCCTCAATATAACTGTATGTGTTTGTACCTAGCGTACATGTTTACCTGATATTGTATTATGTGTTTATCATAGCATGGGTGCAATATTATAGCGTTTTTCTTAGCCCAATACCGCAAGGTTAAGGTGTTTATATTCCATCCGGCGGAGCATTATCAGCATTTTTTGGAGCATTATTCCCGTAGCTATGCAGAAGACGTTACTTTAGTAACGTCTGGCGCTAGCCAGGGTCCACACAGCTTTAATTTGGTGTTTGTTTGTTTGTTTGTTTGTGTCACGCCTGGCGCTATCCCGTATCTGTCCCGTACTGTACCGTACCAGCAAAGACAGCTGGCCACAATATTTTTGTTTGTTCGTGCCATCGACATGCCTGGCGCTATCCCGTACCTGTCCCGTACCATCAAGAGTACGGTACCATCAAGAGAATGAGTATATATATGCGAAGTGTATGGGGGAATGCATTCAGTGCAGTAACATTTTGTGTGGATTTGTGTGCGAGGCCGAGATCCCACTAACAGGCTGGCTGGGCCGTTTGTCGACCAGCCCGGGAATTGCCTGTAGGCCGATAGCATCATAAT